CAATATTAATTTCAAAGAAATATGGTCGATTGGGTCAAAATCTAAAAAGAAAGGCTTTGGTGTTGGCCTCCTAGTTCGAGAAGATGTAAAAAAGTATATTGGCAGAATAGAGAAGCCAAATGAATATATATTAATAGTGCACTTCTATTTTAAAATCTACACGTTAGTAGTAATCCTGGTTTACATCCTCCCAAACGATACAAAGATGGTAAAAAAGATAGATATATGGGGTGGAGTCAATAGAAATGGGACAAATTTATTAGATAAATTTGTTCCATTTCTATTGACTTCACTCTATATTAGTCCGAGACAAAATAAGTAAAACACAAGAAAAGGATTTTACAATTATAATAGGAGACTTTAATCATACGGTAGATCCATTATTAGACAAGTCATCACAAACAGAGAGTTCTAGAAAACTAGCACTGCATAAATGGCTTAAAGAATCTAATTTTGTGGATATATACAGATTGCTCAACCCTTCCGAAAAGAAGTTTACATGGAAAAATAGTACAGTCACAACAAGAATTGATCAAATATGGGTGTTCCAAAACATAGTAAAAATAACACAAAAGGCTAATATCAAGAACATGTTAATAATTACAAGTAGTGATTATAACTTAGTATTTACAAAAATTAAATAGTATCTGCCATCCCAATTAAGTAACCACTTGACCAAAAATACACCAAGTATAAAGCAAAGAGTGTGGAAGCTTGATTTAGCTACAGAAGAAAATTGGAACAGTTATTGAACAAGTCTGTGGAATAGACTAAACATTAAACAACTAAAAGTTCTTAAACAAGAAACATTGCCTACAGACCTATTAATATTAGAAAAGTTAAAAGCAGATCTCAATGAACTATGGGAGACTATAGAAAGTGCAATTTTACGGGCAGGTCAGCACAATCTACCAAACAAGATAGTAGATTTTAAAAGAAGAGTAAATCGCAAAGAAAAAAAAAGCAGATTCTTAAAAGTAGCATACTTGCTAGGCAGGGTAATTAAAGAAACTAAAGTAGCAAACAGTATAGGGCTGCAAGAAAAAATCGCAGATTGGAATAGAAGAATCAAGTGAATAAACTCATTAGCAGATAGCAATATTAAAGATATCAAGATACTAGAAGATGGTGTATGGCAAACAGATACACTTTTGTGGTGGAAAGCAATCGAAAGCAAGTTAATAACAAGTAGCGAGCAAGAGAAGAAAAAAGAAATACAAGCATATATTCAAAGAAGAGCAGAACAAATTGTAAATGATCAAAAGAAAATACTAACCAGTCTGCTAGAGTGGCCATTTCACAAAGTAGTCTTGGATAGAGTACTATTACAAAATCAAGATCAAGAAATATTACTAAATGATCTGGTAGATGTTTTGGAAGAAGTTCAAGCCCACTTCCAAAAGCAATTCATAGGCAAAAAAAATAGCTACACAGAGGTTGAGAAACTTTGGTCTGATGAGTACCAGCCCAAAGAGAGAATCCAAAAGTCTTGGTTTGACCCAGTAATGCAACCAATTACACTAGAGGAGTGGCAAGCAATGTTAAGGGAAAGTAAAGCTAACTCAGCCTCAGAAATGTCAACAATTTCATACCCTCTATTAAAACAAGCAGATATAAGGTCTCAACAAATCTTTAAAAACTTTGCAGAATTATATCTACAAGTCAGCAATGTTCAAACGAAGTGGAAAATGATGCAAATTTACCCCATACCAAAAGGGCAAGATTGGGAATTCAATCTAGATAGAGTTAGACCAATCGCATTAATAGAAGTATTTAAAAAATGTGCAACAAAGATATTAATGAAGAGACTAAGCAAAGTTATTAAAGAAAAAGATATCTTACGTGGTCCTAACTTTGCAGGATTACCAGGCAATTCTACTGAAGAGCTAGCTCATATACTGAAATTGCTTATCAAAGATGCAGAAGAAAATAAGCGAGAAATCTGGTTACTATTTCAAGATATGAAGAAGGCATTTGATTCAGTAAACCTAAGCATGTTAGAAAAAGCCTTAAGAAGAATTAAAGTCCCAGACAGATACTGCAAATTCATTCTAAACCTGTTCACAAACAGAAAGTTAAAGATTATAACAGCATTCGGATTAATACAAGAAGTTTCAGCAGAAGAGGGTATTGATCAAGGAGAGGCTATCTCTCCCCTACTATGGAGAATCTTCTATGACTCTCTGTTAGACCGAATACAAAAAAACAAAGAGTTAGGTTATAAAATCGAAATGCCAAAGCAATTTGAAGAGCTGCTAGGAACTAGTAAAGAAAAAAGTATAAGACAAGCTATCCTTACCTATATGGATAACACACATGGATTGCCAGCTCCAAAGACCAGCTTAAGCAAATGATCCAGATTGCAGAACAGTTCTTTCAATTAAATAGCATAGAAATCAATAGTAACAAGTTCAAGCTAATTGTATTCAACTCAAAACTTCCATTCAAAGAAAGACAAATAAAGTATGGCGGAGCTATAGTGGAAGCAGTTAAAATGCTTAATGAAATCCACTTTCTAGGCATATTCCCTCACACCACTAAAGAAATAAGCGAGATAAAAAAAAGAGTAAAGCAGATTGTGGGCTTGTTTGCACATAAATTAGAAAGAAAGAAAACTACAGCAAGCCAACTGGCATATATAAATAATCAAGTTCTGATCCCAAAACTAGATTATATTCTACAAACAGTGGCTCTGTCAGAAAGAAAATTATACTTAATTCATCAACTCTTTCTATGTTTGATAAAAAAGAAGCTAGGTATTGCCCAAACAGTGCCAAATAGTATATTAGTATATAGAGAGACACTAGATATTAAAATGCTTACAAGAACAGTTTTAGCAAAATAGGCCACATTGCTTTTTAAAAGACTAAATAGCTCTGGTACAATAGAAAGCCTAACCAAAGTACGAATTAGACAAGGAATTTTAGAGAACTGCATAACACACAATGTTTGGCAAGAAAAAGCTAACGAAACATGTTTAGTATACAAGAACAATATCACATTAAATATAATCGAACACTGCAAAGAAATAGATATAATATTTAGACCTAAAGAGGATGGCTAGTATATCCAAGGGTCGAGACCAACAATTACAAGTTTGCTAGATACTAAGCAAAAAAGTAAAAGTAGAAGGATATAAGCAAAACTAGATATATACTATGTCAATCAGTTGCTCGATCCCAGTGGCAAGAACCTGTTAACATGGCAACAAGTTAGGACAATTAAAGGTTTTAGTAGCTGTGGAAAAATTCCTTTCTGATATTTAGCTATCGAAGAAGCAGTTCTAGAAAAAGCAGAAGAACGAAAAGTAAAGTTACAGTTCCACTTACAGGAAACAAATAAAGAAGCTCTTGTCCCCAGACTGCTTAATATTCACCCAGACAAAAGAAGAAGAGACTAGATCTTGTTCGAAGGAAAAAAGAATCAACTCTTATTTGGCTGAATACAAAAGAAGAAATATAACAAAGTACTTGTTGAACATTGGGTAGAATTAAGCCTAACAAAAAGCAGTACTTTGGTAAAGAATTGTCAAAGATGTGATTATAACACAAAGGGCAAAGAAAACAACTATATGTTAGAATTAAAGCAAGACAAAGTACTAGGAAGAGGAGAACATGTATCAAAAATCAACAACAGTACATGCGTGAAAATTTCACCAGAAACCTACAGTTACCTCAAAAAGAAAAGTAACATAGTAGAGAGCCAACTTATAAATACAGTAAAGTTAGAAACAGAAAGCATCGAGTATATAAGGAATCTTAACCTTCTAGCAAATATCACAGCATTATTACTCGATGGAACAAGAATGAACCTTAAACGTGAAAGGAGTAAATACATATTCTATACAGATGGCTCATGGTTACCAAATAAACATAATAAGAGAGAAGAAGATAGAATGGGAGCAGGCTGGATTCAGGTCTCTGTAAATGAAAAAGAAGTAGTGTTTTTAGGCAAAGTAAAAGTAAGCGATTGGCCCTCATCTACAAGACTAGAACTGCTAGCAATACTATATGCGTTATTGACAGTCCCAACAGATATACTAGCTGAGATTAAATCAGATAGTGCAGCAGCAATTCTGGCGATAAAAAGCACACTTAGAGAAAAAGAGTTCAATAAGAGTCTAAAAAAAAAAAAATAGAACACTACTTGACAAAATTATAGAGATGGTTCAATTTAAGCAAATTAAGTTAGAACTAGTAAAAGTGAAAGCACACTCAGGTATAAGATGGAATGAAAAGGTAGACAGTATCGCAAAAGAGGGGGCCCTTCTTGATGAAACATGAAGATGGCCAAGTACGCTTCGGCCACGGTGGAACTTTGATATAGCTTGGTCAAACAAAAATATTAAACACCCTCTGCGCAGTTTTATACTCAGGGTTAAAAGAAGACTAATAGAAAGTGAATAGTACTTGTCAAAAAATCTCAAACCAGTACAACAAATAGAAGTGGAAAACAGTACAAGGTGGTTCTTGTACTGGAAAAGACTAGTAGAACTCAGAGGGCAGAGATGCAAGTTACTGATGAGTAGTAATAAACTAGTCATCCGATTAAAAGGTCTTTTTCAAGTGCTCCCTACACTAAGTATACTTCACTAGCGCAAGCTAGATATATACGTCTCAGCAAACTGTATACTGTGCGAAAAAAATAAAATTGAAGATATGAGTCATCTCTTTGAATGTAAAAGTTTAGAAAAGGTTTGGACAGAAATTGAAAAGCAGGTATTAGCTACAGCCTGGGCCATACTTGAGGAGGAGACAAGATTTGAGTATACACTATCAGATCTCAAAAAAGTTGTATATAGCAACACCCTTCAAGCAAGACAAGATACAAGAAAAAGATTTACTCTCGGCTTGGTTCAACAGGCAAACTTTCTCCATTTATGCGAAATGAATAAAAGGCATAGCTTGAGTCAACAATGCTTTGAAGCACTGGTATATACTATACAGGAGTGCTTTTACAGAGTAATATGGAGAAAAAGATGTGAAGGGTTTGCAGCTTGGGAAAAAAGTAAGAGAATAAGCAGAGTAGTCAAGTTAGAGAAGAGAGATAGGAAGGCCTCAAACGCTTCAAAGAGGGATTCGAGAACTAAAGCTTTAGAAGAAGTATGCTCATCAAGTTCAAGTTCACATGCAGAAGATGGTGCAAACGAATACTTCTCAAACAAAAGATGCAAAATTATGGAAATTATTCCAGACAAAGAAAAAGAAGAAAGGAAAAATTCCCGGCTGACAAGATTTAAGAAACGTGTGATAGAAGTGTATAAAATAGCAAAAGAGACATTATGGCAGCAGATTACAAACTTCCTTCTCTCTAGGTAATGGGCAAAATAAACATTAGAGTATATAAATTTCAATTCATAGGTAGCTGAGCACCTGGTTATAGCAGGTCTTTAAATATGGGTAGCTCCATATGTGGGGTCAGTTGACCAACATCAGTGTGATAACCATACTTGGGTACTTAATAAGCAGCTGGGTACTAGTCTAATAAGTAGTTAAATAGTGTATTGTATAAATAACAAATGTTTAATAAATTAGTACGTGGTTATCAAAGAAAAAAAAAAATTTAATTTTTTATAAATAATAATTATTTTTTAGAGATTTGGGATTTGTCTGGGTTTGGCCAGCAAGTATACTTGTATCTAATAAGTAACCTACCTTAAAACATCTTTGGAAAAAACTTTTATTAACAATGTTTGGTAAAAAAATCATTTTAAAAGTTAGAAATTTGCTTGGGATCGATGCCAACCAAATCTGTTTTAGGACCAATTTAGTTGGTATTGATCTTAAGCAAATTTCTAATTTTTAAAATGATTTTTTTAACAAATGTTGTTAATAAAGGTTCTTTCTAGAAATGTTTAAAATAGATTACTTATTAGATATAAACAATTACATATTTTTAAGATTAGCAATTTGTAAATTATAATAAAAGTTCTTTCCAGAGATGTTTTAAGGTAGGTTACTTATTGGATATAAGTAATTACATATTTCTGGAATTAACAATTTGTCAAATCATTTTATAACTAATTAGACTGGTTAGAACCAATTAACACCTCTAATCTAAATAACAAATCTAATTATAAAATATTAAAGATAAAAAATCAAAGTAAGATTTTACAAAAGCTAACAAAAAATAAGAAATATAATCTTATTAAAACAAAATACTATATAAAACAAAACAAAAAAAAACAAAAAAAAACAAAAGAAAGCACTATTTGCTATTGTAATCTATATCAAACTAATAAAAATTATATAAAAATTGCAATATATTATATTGTTACAAGTGACTATAGCCTTCTTGTAAATATAGTACTTGCAATATAGCACATGGTAACAGAGATCTCGGAAACAACAGAGAGAGATATAAAGCAGTGTAGAAGTAAGATATTACTTTACTTGGGCAGTTTGGTATAGTTTATTTATAGTTTATTTAGAGGACAAAAGGTATATATTTATTAATAATACAATATTTAAGATATAAGACTATCAATAGGTATTTGTGTCTAAAGA